CCCCCACATGAAGGCCTTTGATAGTTTTTTTTACTCCTATACGTTCCTCGTGGAACATAGTGCTTTAAGCTAGAGTTCTAATCCACCACATTGTTGGAGGAGGATATTCCATTTGATTCTCAGGGGAATTTCTTATGGTTGGTTCTTTGGTTAGCTGATTTTCATGTATAGGCTTTATTTTGTACTTAAGAAACTCTTAGGGTGTAGTGCTGCCTAACGGCGTTTACTGGAGAGGATTTTACATTTTTGATATGTTATTAGGATTTAAAAATACCAAAGAGTTTATCACATGTAACTGTCTGTTTTCTAACGTAGCGTCATTTTTGAGACGGTGAGTCATTCGCAGAAGTTTGGTTAGCTAACTACGCAAAAGAACCGCATTGATTGGTTCCATCATGCATTTTAGACCGGAATACTTGGGGGTTTCGGTTGTTAGGACACAGTCAACATTGTAATTCTTGGAAGAAGTAATTCCAACCGAGAATTCTATAATTCCACAAACTGAAGTACTCTTATAATGTGTGACTTCTGCCAGAAAACTGGTGATTCCATTAAACAAATTCTCAAATTACAGTATACACAAACTCGATGTGAAATTTTACTGCAGTTTCCTTTTTTTACTGCCGTACGTTCCTCCCAGGGGAATATAGGGCTTCAATCTAGAGGCTTGAAGTTTTGGTAGCAGTGGTGCTTATTTTTACGGGATGGGTCGCTAGCCCCACATGCCCAGCCTTCTCTCTTTACCAGTCTTATTACTAATGACTTAGCGAGGTAAAGGAGTGCCTCGTTGGCGGAGGATCAAACCAGGAACGACATACGTTGTTGGTGGGCATTCTATCTCTGTCCCACCGATTCACTCCTTTGATACTACTGATAATATATAATGATAACCACACCTTCAATGCCCTCGTACTAACCGTCTGAACTCCATTCAGTTAACGACTTGATCAGCTCACTTCCACTTCTGTCATATACGAAGAGTACACAAACCTACAAAGTATCTTCCAGTAGTTCCTCAATCGAAAACTAATAAACAAACTATGATAGAAAAGTTTTTCTGTTAGCCGGGAAGTCATTATTTATTCATGCCATATTGTCATGACAACCTGATTTGACAGTATTTTATTCGTTTATTTATGGCTTAAATTCCTGGGTATTTATAAATATGATATACAGTGTATTTGTTTAATAAAGATTGTTGTTATCGTTGTCTCAGTGAAATCTGGCCTTAGTGTCTATCTCAGTGTGCCGGAGAAATTTTCAATTGATCAGTTGGTTATATTGTCGTGTGTCTGGAGACGTATTCTAGTCAATTTAGACAAAGCCCACCAAAAACGCAGTAACATTCCGTCATAATATACATTCCATATATTCTCATAATATCTTATTTCTTATACAATCTGAGCAGTCATGCCAACCTCAAATATGGTGGGGACATTCCATGTGCCCTTGTTTACTACGGCGGCATTCATCCATACTGACTTATCGGCTAAATTGTCTCCCTGAGGCTTCTGCCACCGCCTGCTTCTCGTGGTATCATCCTTCCTCAAGCTGTAGAGTCTTGACAAACCCTACCTCGGAATGACTTATGGCTTGCCTTGTAATCAGAGGTTCTAGGTTTGAATCCTGGTGCGCACACACTGATGAAGAGTCTCAGACTAAGACGAAACACTTGTTTAATTATCACTTGGTTTCGTGTTAGTCGGTGGTTAAACGGTAGAATACTCACCTGTTATGTGTTGAATGTGTTCTGGAGTCCGATCTCTAGCCGCTTATTTACTTCTAAACTTTGGTAAATCAGTAGTAGGCGCGATAAATTGGGAGAGTAGGCGGCAGGCTAACAAACACACCCAAAAAAAACGAAGTGAATAGCTTTTCTATAGTTGGTTTGTAAGGATTAGTTTTATTTTTATGAGTTGATCAAGGGTTGATATCAATTAGAGAACCATTGAAAACCCTCCAGGGAGTACTGGACGGTTAGCTGTTTCATCTATCTAGTTTGGGAATCATTGGTACCCAGTGGGGTTTGAATCCAGGACCTTCAAGTTACAAGGCAAATTCGTATACCATTGAGCCCACGAATTCTAACTTCTACCAATTCATGATTCAGCGTGACCCCACCCAATGTCGTTGGTGGGATATCCATCCCTAAACTTGACTGGATGAATCTCACTGGTCACGATTTCTCACTAGAACTCAGGAAACTCTGTCCTGGGTGCGTACTGCCGATGGTTCCCGAACTAGGCAGATGAAACAGATAACCGTCCAGTACTCTCTGGCGGGTTTTCAATGCTTCTCTAACTGATATCAATCCGTGATCAACTCGTAAAAATGAATAGCACCATTGGTACTGTAATTTCAAAGTCGGAGCTAGAAGCCTTATATTCCACTAGGAATGCTGAGGAATACAATAAAAGGTATATCTGCGTATAATGTCTTTATATAAGAAATAATGCATAATATGTAAACACACATACGCAGGGAGGACTCATCGATCTCTGCAATTAAGGGCTGACTTCAGAGCATATTCCTAAATGGCTCCAGAAACAAATGGAATCTTCAGAACCCATCAATGGTGAGAACATATTATAGAGACAGGACATATAACCGACGTTAACACATCTTTTAAACCTATCTATATAACGTGTTTGGGGCGTATTCTAAAGTTTGTGGAAGCAATTAGAAAGTTTAAACCACCTTTACGCGTTCAAAAACATTTCGTCATCATATTAAACCTTCCCTGGTAAATTTTGTTTTGATACTGTAGCAGATGTACTATTACCTCTGATATTTGGTTTAGTGGTCTTCATTGTTATTTTGACCTTGAATATATCCTTTTAAGTTGACCTAAGTCGATTTTCTCACCTCTTACCTCTTTATTAATTTCCAAAGAAATTACTAGCAGTAAGCGATGTACTTCTGTCCCATTTCTTAATGTTGACACTCTTAATAAGTCTTTCATACGCTCTTCTGTCGATATCCTTCCTAATGATACAAATCATACTGACAATAATTTTAGTGGTTTTAATACCCTTGATGTGCTTAAATGTCTCCGGTCTTTTAAGCCTTCCCAAAGCCTTGGTCCTGATGGCATACCTGCCATTGTCTTCAGGAATTGTGCTGATATTTTGTGTTACCCTCTTACTAGCATTTTTAATGCCTCTTTTTCCGGTAACGTTCTACCTTTTGCATGGAAAAACATTAAAATTATCCCCATACCAAAACCATCTTCTGGTACTCATATTAAATTTCGGCCTATTGCAATTACTTCTCCCTTTTTAAAATTGATGGAAAAATTACTTTTACTTCGTCTTGAACCCTCAGTAAAACCTATTAATTATCCTAAACAATTTGCATACAAACATGGTAGAAGTACCTTGGATGCTGCGGTTGTCTTATATCACAATGTTGTTTCTTGTTTAGACAAAGGTGCCAAATATATTCGTAGTGCTTTCTTAGACTACACATCTGCTTTCGACTCTGTACCTAGGGGGCTTTTATTAAATAAGCTTTCGTTGACACAAACAGGATCCTGGGCAAAGAGTTGGTTGCATTCTTATTTTTCTGATAGAATGCAGTATACTGTATATAATGGCAAATCTTCTTCTACCTCGCTTACAAAATCCGGCGTTCCACAAGGTGCCGTCCTCTCTCCTTTTCTTTTTTCTTTCTTCCTACATGATCTGCTTCATTCAAACGAAACTAAATTTGTCAAATATCCAGATGATCTGACGGTATCACTGCCTATCACTTTCGAGTTTGACTGCTCCAAACTTAATAGCTTTCTGTTGGACATCAACAAGTGGTCCAAGTCAAATGGTCTTATGTTAAATCCTTCCAAATGTCAGGTGCTTGACTTTACTTTCAAGCATCGACGTGACTTACTTGAACTAGTTAACTCTCATGATCCCTGTAGCATAGATGGCACGGAAATTGAAACCAAATCAAGTATTAAATACCTTGGACTAGTTTTTTCCTCTGACCTTTCATGGTCATCCCATATCTTATCTATCTCTAAGAAAATGTTTCGTCTTACCTTCTACATTAAAAAGTTAAGACAATCAGGTATCAACCAACCTTTAGTTTTGCAATTTTTAAACTCCTGTATTTTACCTATTGTACTCTATTGCTCTCCATTAATCTTTCCTGGACTTCTCAAAAAAGACTATATCATATTACGAAGAGTATTAAATGCTGTGAGTAGGGCTTGTGGTCTGCCACTGCGTGAGCTCGCCAATACTATAGTCGAGAGACACATGAATTCCTGTAGAAATTGGGCAAAGGCTGTACTGTCAGACCCCCTGCACTCCATTTTTCACAACTATCCCCTTGTATCTCATCAGGTAGGACGAGAAGTCAATATAAGAAGTTATATGCTGGTACCACTAAGTACAGAAATTCTAAAATACCCTATTTAGCCCGTATTTTATGTGATGAAGACTCTGTTAGACGTGAAACACATAAGTTACTATGTAATTAGCACATTGAATCGACCCTTTTATTGTTCATCTTTCTGTATTTTATGGTGTCACACTTTCTATCGTTTAATCATTACTCTGCTATTTTATTTTAGTTGGTATTACTATTATTACTACAATTTTGTACTTTATACATATTTTTCACCGTATTGCATACAGTATTTTGCTATGTAGCTGCTGTAACAATCGTTTTATTATTATTATGTAATGTGTATTTTTAATTTTTTGTCGTTTTTGAGTAAATTAGATGCAATATTGTACTGAATGCTGAAAATCCCTTGCTGTATCATTAGTACTGTTTTTGGAATAAAGCAAATTATCATTATCATTATTATATGTATTCCTATGACAAGTCCGTGTGTGATGGATCAGATTGTTCGAAATATGTTGCGCAAATGCATTACACTATTCAGACAAATTACGTCTTCTTATTGCGTTTTCTAAATTCATAAAGGGAACTAAGTGTTTTAAATATTTCATTATTATTATTATTTTATTATTATTATTTTGTTTTTTTATCAGGTTTACAAGGATGCCTTGATGATGGCTTCTTATTGAGGTTTCTTCGGGCTAAGAAATTTAATCGTGATAATGCATTAAGGCTGTATATAAACTATTATATCTTACGGCTACGTTATCCAGACGTATTTAATAATCTAACACCATCATTGGTGGAACATGTTTTTCGTGGTGGTGTTGTCTGCCGTCTACCACAATGTGATGCTGATGGTAGAGCGCTAATCTACTTTCAACCTGGTCTATGGAATCCAGCTGAATGGTCAACTAATGATATCTTTAGAGCAAATGTTCTAGTTATTGAAGAGTTATTATTGGTAAGTTTACCGTATGTATCATTGTGAATATATTTAGATATTATTTTTATATTAGATAATTCATTATTATTGTTCCCTTGGGTTCCTAGTGGAACATAGGACTTCAACTGCTGCACGTCTCAACTTGCTTCTGTCTTCCTTCTGCTGTACTTTTCACCTGAATCCATGTTAGTCCATACTGTTTCAACTCCTATTCACACGATCTCCTCCATGTCACCCACCCTTGCACTGACGTCCCACTCGCCGCTTCCCTTTCGGCTTGGTTCCACTCGAGCAATGGCCTGACGCGCGCGCGATGTCACCCAGCGGCCTCCCCAGCGAGTGTCCAATGTGTCATCTCCACTTTCTCCTGCATATTTGTTGTTTGGCGATTGCTTCTTGTTTTGTTTGTTTGTTCCTAGCCATAGTTTCTTGTTGGTGATTCTTTCCGGCCTGGCCATCTGATCTTCAGTATAGAGCCAGCGAACACAGTTGTTGAAAGTGGTCTGCAACAGGCTGTTGGAAATATTCTTTGTGACCCGCCCGACAAGTTCCTGATCCGTATAGAAGAACTGACTGACTTGACCTTGTTTGTATTGAAAATCCGACTGAATTTTGTTGTTGATGCTGGCTGAGTGACGAAGATTTCCAGATTGGTTTCAGTTGGTTGATGAATGTGTTTGTCGCTCGCCTTACCGATTCTCGCTCGATTTGACATCTTCATCCGTTACTCCTGTATTCGAGACAATGCTCCCTAGATCAGTGAGTGAATGAAGTAACCTCTTTCAAATCCCTCCCATTGATGGTGCTTGGCACTGGATGTTGATGCTGTTGTTGTTGTTGGCTGTTTATTTTCATAACCCCCATCTTGTCTATGCTCACCTGGAGTCTTGTCTTCGCCGGCTGCTTTTTCGACCAGTTTGTCGTTTTTCACTTGTAAGTCTTCGATTTTGTGACAGTGGCATCAAACACAAATCATCCACGCGCAAAATCCAGGTGTCCTAGGTTCTTCACGTCAGTTGTCCAGGAAATCTCTGTCTTCTCGTTTCCCACTGTCTGACGCATAATCCAGTCAGTCCACCACAATTAGGAATATCATTGGTGATAATAGGCAGGCAGCCTTGTCTGACTCCTGTGTTTACTCCAAAAACGCCTCGCTGAGTTTTCCGTTGTGGACCACTTGACATGTCCGTTGTCGTACAGCAGCTGTTGAATAAGGTTGATGAAGCCAAGGAGTATTAGATAATAATAATAGCAGTGGAAATTCGATAGTTTATAGTATGCATGCATTTCAAGAGTGAAGTTTCCTACATAAAGATTGACAGCTTTGTTGTTGAGGCGAGTCAGTGATAATTACGTAATGAAAGTTATTAAACGCAATGATTACAATTCACAACACTGGAAAACTATGATTTTCTACATACGTAGGAAGTTCAATGAAAATATGATGGTGTAACACAGTGAGTAGAACTAAACGTGCAACAGCAGAAGGCAAGACACGGTTATATTTTTTGAGCGATCGAACCACTATTTATATTTGTAAAGTTTATATTCTTTAACTAATTATTGAGCGTGTGACTTTGGTTTACATTAAACGACATGAAATAGAATGTTCAAATGTACATAGTATTTTGTTACTGATGCAGCACCGCAATTAAACCAAGGAGCTCAGAGAACACTATCAATTGAAAATAGTATTCTGTCTCTAACATCGTCCGTCGAGGAAGGCGATGACTAGGCATGTGTAACACATAGCCTAAATATCTCAATCGGTGTAACTTCACAATGTCAGCGACTGATCTCCCTTCTTACCCAGGACTCGACCGATGCCTCACCCCAATATTGCTCGCTTGGTTATACCACCACGTACCACGGGAGACAGGTAGTTAGCTTTTTAATGTCTTCCACTTTCAATGACTATATCTCACAGCCATAAAGGAGGACAGAGCTAACTGCTCAGAAGTACACATGCCCTTTTTTTGACAGCCAGCCGGATATCACATCTACTAAGCCAGATATAGCGTAATATTGATATAAGTGTAAAACTTTGGCAATGTGGTAGAGTATAACTCCATTATGGATAAGATTTTTATTTTTATAAATCACATAGTGTTGTGTAGTAATATTTACTGATGATGCTTCTAGCACAAATTATTTCTCATAATCATGATTATGGAGATACGGCGTAAGTTGGTGTATGCCGAATGAATCTTCTTTAGCTTTGCTGAGATTTCGTCAGCAATCAACTCTCAACTGTCGCTGGGATGATGCAACTCCTCAAATAAGTGGTTAACATGCTGTACCAGCTTACTGCCTGTCTTTAATCTAGGAATGAGTCGATGTAGTTGAATCCTGCAGCATCATCCTATATTTGACGGGAATGAATCGCATGCCAAACATTCGAAGATTGCTTCCAATGTGTTGAGAAGATTTGCATTTTGTCAGCGTCTTCACCTGGGAGACAGGACTATATCATCTGCATATTCTAAGTTAACGAGATTATTCCCTGGTGGTAACAAGTCAGTCTCTCAGTCGCTGAAGTCAGTTAGGGTTAAATCCATTTGACATAGTCCCTTCTTTCAGTTGTCCCAATGTTACTGCTCAGGGAGTTACACAGTTTTGGAGGTAAAATATGCGGTTTAGTTATCAATTTTTGACTGTACCAACGAGCAGAAGAGAGAGAGAGAGTGAGACTAGTTTCGCATATGGATACCTCCCAATCAGTGTGTCGCTTCAACCTTTATTTATCCCCATTCTCTTCCTATTTTTACTTTTCTTGATAAAAACATATGAAATTTGAAGGGATGGATTTCTAAACTAATTTCTGTTTACTCTCTGAATACCTGACCGATAGTTTCTACCTTGACGTGGTGGTCAGGCTTGCATATCGCAATGACCCAACAAGCTACACTGTTTGGAACTATTGTTCCTGCAGTTCCTACATGCCAGCAAGGTTGTTAGGATCGCAATTAGAATAAAAGCAATTACCGGAATAGTGTAAGAATTTTGTTTTTTATACTATGCTGGAAGTCTGTGGGTGAAGTTGTACTACTGAGGAACAGGGATGTAACAGTCACAGAAAGGTGTTTCCCTCAGATGACCAGCATACCAACCAGCTATGCTGTCTCTCTACTCTGGAGAAAGTGAAGGGGAGTTAGAAAAGATCGACACCAACAATTGTACATCCCGACTTACCCGTAACCGGCTGTAAGTCAACTAATACGGAATCGATCCAAGAAACCAGTTCATACATGCCATGTGTGACTGACCGGCCTCAAGCAGTTGTCTCCTGGGCTCTACGGTCACGCAACACCAAACTTCTTTCTGTTTCAAGTGCCCAAAGAAAGTCACTCTGTCAGTGATAGGGGAATCGCATTATCTATTCGTGTATTTGTCGTTTCATTATACTGATAGTCTAATTGTACTTCTGTGTATGTGTGTGTGTGTACATAATGTATTTCACCTTTCATTCTATGCTTTCTGATATGTAGTTTTGCTTTTCATCATATATGTAATGTATGTATGTAAATATAAAAAAAAACAACCGTTTTCAATAGTTCCTATTTTATATGTTTATAACACAGCATTCCTTTAGAGAATGAACTGTCCTCAGTGCATAATCAGCGCTCACGTGTATTTTGTGTTCTTTTTTGCTAATTAGTGAAAATGTTAGGCTGTTGTATATCCTGTACATGCTTATTCTTGTTATTTGGTCATTTTAGAAGGAGAAATATTTGTGCATACCAAATAACTAACATTTAATCTGTAGATTTCTCGTCTATTCTTTGTTGATATTAAAGTACATATCTAATAATAATAATAATTATATTATTACATATGTATGTGTGTATGTATCCTTTATGTAATACACTGTCTTTGACGCATTACTTCAATCTGATAGGTACTCATTCTGTTCACTGATAATGATAACGGTGATGACAATAATTCGTGTGTATTATTTATTGTAACTGACTAAGTTTCAACGAATGACTCTGTACAGAAGGGCACTACGGTTCAGTTTACCACATCTCATTATTATTATTATTAATATTACTTGGAGGATTTAATCATGAGCTGACATCAGTTAGAGAACCACTGGAAAACCTGGGAGTACTGGACAGCCGTTTCGTCCTAGTTTGGGACTCCTCAGCAGTACGCACCCACCGGGATTCGAACCCAGGACCTTCTGGTTACAAGGCGAGCTCGTAGACCATTGAGGAGTCCCAAACTAGGACGAAACGGCTGTCCAGTACTCCCAGGTTTTCCAGTGGTTCTCTAACTGATGTCAGCTCATGATTAAATCCTCCATGCAATCAAACAAAATCCCTAAAAAAACCAATTTTTGGAAATTAATATTACTGTTTCCTTGGGTTTCGAGTGGAACGTAGGGGCTCAACAACACACCTCCACTCTGTTCTGTTTTCTACTGTCCTCTTAAGCTGGCTAGCTCCACGATTGCCCATAATCTTCTATCTCCTCCTTACACGACTTTCTCTCTGTCAACCTCACAGCGATGCCACATTCGTCGTTTGCCATTCGTGTTCCATTCAAGCAACAGCCTGACCAGTGCACAGTATCATATGCTAGTTTCCTCAGTGTGCACCCAATCCATCTCCATTTTTTCCTACATATTTACTGAACGACAGATTCTTGGATAGTTTGTTCGCATACTTCCTTCTTACTAATTTTTTCCCATTGACCATTTGATCCTCATCGTAGGAGCCATCGTAGGCAACTGTTGATAAAAGTCTTAAGAGTGACCTGTTGGAAATCCTTTTCGTAGCCATGCTTGCCAAGTTTTTTGGCGCGTATACAAGAACTGACTGACTTCACAGTTTTGTTAAAAATCCGAGTTAGTGCAGAAGAGATCAAAACTGGTTTCAGGTCTTACCTTTGCGATTCTGGCTGGCTGGCTGGCTTTTACATCTTTATCCGTTCCACATGTATTTGAAACCATACTGTCTATTTAGATAAGTTGAGGAGGTAAGCTGTGTTAAATCTCTCCCGTTGATAGCAATTGA